GCGGCCACTGCACTCCAGTCTGGGCGACAGAAGTGAGACTCCAACTCAAAAAAAAAAAAAGAACTAAGGAATGATAATCATCTCCAAGGATGTTACCAGATCAAACATGAAATGCCATGTGTGACAGTACCTGAAGACCTACACAACTGATGGTCAATGAAGATTAGTCTTCCTTCCTCCCCACCATCCAAACCCATCCTATGCTTCACCTATCCCTTTCTCAGGACGGAGGTTCAGTCAAATACACCTGGGGAATATAAGGTGCGCATCTGCCCACCTCAGGTGCACCTGGGCTGTACTGGTAGTTGAATATTGTCATTATCGCATCCGCCTATTCCCCAACCCTCCATCCCATTCTAATTCACCCCAAGCTATGGAAATGTTTTCCATCCTTGAAACCTCGGCCATCTCATAAAGTACCAGAGGCCTTCATGTCATACATCCAAGGACAGTTATTTTGAAATGCTTGTATGATATCAAATTATTCATTCAAAGATAAGCTCCAACTGCACCCAAGCAGCTATTACACATAGCCTATGGTCCCCACCCAGGAAGCTGCCTGGCCCCTGCTATACCCAATCCCCAGAAGATGCGTGGCAAAGAGGAAACATCCTTCCCTTTTCTCGTAGCTAGAGCTGTCTCTGCGAAAAGGGAATACCTATCTCTTCTACTTAACTCCCTTCAACAGGCTATCCCAGTGATAATGACCATATGTGCCAACATAAACAGCGGCAATAAAAATTGGAGTAGAAGCCGGGCTCGGTGGCTCAGCCTGTAACCCCGCGCCTTTGGGAGGCTGAGGTGAGTGGATTGCCTGAGCCCGCGGGTTCGAGACCCGCCTGCGCAGCGAGACCTCATCTCTACAATAAATCAAAAGATCAGCCAGGCGTGGTGGCGCATGCCTGTAATTCTGGCTACTCGGAAGGCTGAGGTGGAAGGATCGCCGGAGCCCAGCAGGCGAGGCTGCAGTGGCCGGGAGTGGCCACTGCACTCCAGTCTGGGTGACCGAGTGAGACTCCAACTCAAAAAAAAAAAATTAGAATAGAAAACACTTTTAGCTCAGAGGTGTGGCAGAGAAATTTTCCAGAAAGACACAGCCTAGTGGATCCCAGTGTGTGGTCCCCAGGTCTGGAAATCTGTTATAGAAGCAAATTCTTGGGCCCACTCCAGACTTAAAAGAATCAGAAACTCTGGAGTAATGCCCAGCAATCTGAGTTTAACAAATCCTACAGGTGATTCTGATGCTAGCCTACATTTGAGAACCACTGTTTTAGCACACAGACCATGCGTACAAAAATATGACTTTAAAAGAGAAAGAGATAAGTTAACTTAGACGAAAAAGCCTCAAGAGCTAAGTTCTCAGAGCACTCCAAATTCATCACTTACAGGACATAGCTACAAGTATTTTGTACATCATGTACAACACAGTTTAGCAAAGTTTAAACACCAATACAGTGGGTATGGCAGATCATGCCTATAATCCCAGCACTTTGAGGTGCGGAGGTGAGAGGACTGCCTGAGCCCACAGGTTCAAGACAAGCCTGAGCAACATGGCGAGACCTCGTCTCTACAATAAATCACAAAATTAGCCAGGCATGGGGGCACATGTTCCAGCTACAGTTTCAAGTAGTTCTAGCTACTCGGAAGGTTGAGGTGGAAGGATCACTGGAACCCAGCAGGTCGAGGCTGCAGTGGCCATGAGCGTGCCACTGCACTCCAGCCTGGGCAACAGAGTGAGACTGACTCAAAAAACAAAAAAACACAAAAGCACACCAATACAAACACACTGAGCCAAAATGAGGCTGGGTGACAGAGTGCCACAGGTGCAGGCACCAGAGTCCCTAAGACCTAGACATGAACCCCAGTTTCCCTAATTATTAGTTGTGTGGACCAGGCAAATCTCTAAGTTCCCATCCCCCAATGTTCAATGGAAATACAACTGGACCATTTCCTACGGTTACTGTGAAAACTGATGAGACATTTAATTATATACCTAAAACAATAACATAGCCCCCAGCAGGAAACTCTCAGTGATGTTCACCTTTCCTATTGCTAATTAGGGAAGAGCTTGAGACCATTAACAACTGAACTAAACAGGGAATTCAGCCTTGAGTCCTCATCCTCCCTTCAGCACAACACTGAAACCTCTACAAACGTTAGGCAATGAATCTGGAAAACAAAACTTTTCCAGAGAAAAGGATAATAAGATGGGCTCTTTTCTTGACTTTCAGTGTTCTAGAGCCAAAGGGGTTATCAGATATTATCTTACACTAAACCCTTCTTTTTTCAAAATCAGTCTTCAGGCTTCTATGAAGACCTGTGAAAGACAGACAGAAACCAAAGGCAGCTGTAGTACTCACAACAGTCCTTAGTAAGCACAGCAGGCCCCAAGACTCCACAAGAGATCAAACGAAGCTCCACACGAACACAAGAAAGTGACTAGGGAGCAGAGAAGCAAGTCTCTGCAGTTAACAGAGAGAGGGTATCCAAGAACTGCTCAAATGGACTTGGCCTTGCAACACTCAAAGAAGGCTCCTGCTTAGCCAGGTACCAAAAGGAAACTGCTATTATTGAGAAAGAAATTAAAATATCATGTCTTTCAATTACCTCATAGTTCCTTAGAGGCGACAAAACATTATTTTGAAATAGAGTACTAGTGATATGAGTAAATCTGGCAAATCACTAAGTCAGGGCCAGTCTGGGCTATTTTAGTTTACTGGCTAAACACTCTAGGACTAGAGTTATCCACTCAGCAGTTCCAATGAACCCAAGTTCTCACTGTGTAACAAGCACACAGTTAAGGGTTCCATAGCAGTTGGGGCTAGGAAGCCTACTGTCCCAAGATACTGGCTCATCATACCTAGGGTAACACAGAAACATACCAGCAGGCTAAGATGCAAAACCCTGTGAAGAGGATGATGGGGATGGGGTAAGATGCACAGAGCAGTCCATGGTTGTAGAAGGCCCGAGATATCTTCTCACGGAGCCTTTCAGTCAGGGTCATCCTCAGCTGAAGTCACCTTGCTGCCATCCCGGGAAGTGACCATGGATCAGCCTGGCACACGCTGGACAGCACTGACAACAGACATCTACAGGTACCTGGTCAAAAAGGAGAAAAACCAATTAACAAAGAGTACTTGGCTCTGTACACTAGGGTTACAGGGGGCAGTTACGTGGCTGGGGAATGGCTTCAGGATGTCTATGTGCAAGATCTGGAGACTTCCACACACACACACACACACACACACACACACACACACACACACACACACACTTTAGTCATCTCTCAAGTGACTGTGGGTTACTCTCTACTCAGTCTAACCAAAGAGGCCAAAGAACTGCCCCTCCAACTCTGGTAATAAACTCTCAACCCTCTTCCATATTAGGCGTTGCTAAATGGCTACTCCCTAGAGGGCATTTTTCTCACATGTGACACAGAAAAGCATGCCTGTCGAGTAGACAACAACCCTCAGCTGCTCTCTGCCAAATGAGCATTCCTACCCACCCTCCTCTGTGCACAGGCCAGATCAAAAGAGAGCTTGGGAAAAACCTTTACACAGGGATGCCAGCCCAAAAAACACATTCTTGTAGAAATACCGATTCAGTGATAAATAATATTCCATGGGGTGAGCCCTCAAAATAAAAACACCAAGAAAGGTCCCTGACATAAAAGTCACCAAAACAAAATCACTCTGGCAGCAGTATTAGGTGGAAGACTTTGCTCCTGGTCCTGCATTGTTCCTGGGAGCATGAGGGCCCCTTCTGTGTCCACCTGCTCAGCAGTTATCTCCTTTGAGCAACAGCAGTCAAGTGTGGCTCAGAGGAACCACCTCCCTCCACAGGATTTAGCCTGGATGGACTATCAGTCAAGATGCCCCTCCCTGAGCCAAGCCATACCAACTGAGCCTTTCTTCCTAGACTTTGACTTCTGAACAGAAAGAAGCAAGAACTGGATATTCGTGGTGCTTATTCATCCCCAGGTTCCTGCTCCCAAGATCCCCAGGCTATTCTGGCTCCAGTCCTTTCTGAATACTGGCTCATCAGCTTTTCTTTTGAATCTGTAAGCCATTCCATATCCTTCCAATAAATCTTCCTTTTGCTTTTAACGTTGATTTTTGTTGCTTGCAAACAAAGAACCTCAAAACAATAAAATCATAATATAAAACTCTAGAGGGCCAAGGGATCTAGAATTATCTTTCTTACTGAGCCCTCCAATGGAATCTAGGTTAAAACCTACTTCTCTTGTTCCATGTTGCAGTTTTCTTTGTTCCGTGCTAAAGGGAACCTGCCCAGACATGTCTTGGCTTAACTACACACACTGATGAAAATCCAGACTAAAAAGATGACTCCTCATAAGTGTCAAGACCAGAACTGAGAAGCAAAAGGAATCATACCATAACCAATTCACAAGCCAAAAGGAATGGCTATCACTCCTTTCATCTTTCTTTTCCCATTATTTTTGCTTTCTAAAATGTTCTAATTCCTAGTTATTCAAACTCCTTCTGAAAGCACAAGCCTCAAGTGCACATTCAATTTTCCAGTTCAGGAACCTTATAAAGAAATACAGGGAATCCTCTGTAGGTCCGTTCAATCAGCAATGGATAGAGGAGGCAGCAGGTGACAGCCGCTGGTCTATGGAGCAGAGGTGTTCACAATAGCTTGACCATTCACAAAGTTTACCGAAAGCATGACAGGACAAAGCAGTGGACCCACACATGGCAGGAGGCTAATTATAGAGTTCACTGCCCAGCATATACAAGGACTCTGAGAAAGCAATGTTCTGCTCCTGTTCCCGCCCCTCCCCTCATCCTGCCACTAAGGGAAAAACAAACACAAAGGACACTATCCTAGCCAGATATGGTGGCCCATGCCTGAAACCCCAGCACTTTGGGAGGTGGGAGGATTGCTTGAGGCCAGGAGTTCAAGACCAGCCTGGGCAACATAATGAGAATCCATCTCTACCAAAAAAAAAAAGAGGATTCCCTAAGACTAATGACCATAAACCAGTTGCAGTGTTTCCAACCACCATCCTTGACAAGCCCCACATCTCCTCCTTTAATGTTCCCCAAGATCAGACCCTCCAGAGAATTCTGATCCTACTAATCCCAATCCTCTACCCAGGCCTTTCTGGCACACACATCAACAACACAGGAGGAGGGACCCACCTTTGCAGTCCAGCTCTTACACTTAGAACTATCAAACATGAGAAAAAGCTATCTAATTCACTTTCATTCTGCAGCAAATACAAATATTTAACTTCCACTGATCTTTATTAGTTACACTAAGTTAATTTTTTTTTTTTTTTTTTTTGAGTTGGAGTCTCACTCAGTCGCCCAGACTGGAGTGCAGTGGCCGCTCCCG